CTGCTTACAGGTTATAGGTGGGTTTAAAAGATTCTTTAGATTGTAATTGGCTAAAGACATGAAGCTTGTCTAAAGACAATGTTTTAACATAAACTGTTTACCAGAGATAAGCCACCATTTGTTGCAAATTGAGGCTGCAGGTTTGTCTTGCATACCCTTAGGCCTGTTAATGGTTACAAAGGAAGTCTCCAAGAAGGGAGGGGAGCATGATAAGGCCTGTCTGACCTCCCTCCCCTGGCAGGCAACTTTGCCCTTGAATATTCCTCTGGCCACGAGGGGTCATTCAGTCAGCCGGTAGGGTTGAGCATTTTAGTTCAATATTTATTTAATTACATCATTTCTGCTTTGAAATATGGAACCACGCAGACGTGCCAGCTCATTTCCCGTGCACATTGTTGGATGTGGAAGGAAACCAGAGAACATGAAGAAAACCCACATAGACATGGGGAGAATGAGTAAATGCCACACAGACAGGGGCCCGGGCTGGGGATCGATGCTTTTTCTCATCAACATTATAACAAAACGACATTGAACTAGACATTATTCAAGGGACGTAGAAGGTTAGGTTCCCAAGCCTCGGGTCACAATATTTTCACCAACTGATCAATACATAACATTGTTTTGTATGTGTTTCTCTTTAAAAACACCTTACTAATATACACTACTGATCAAATAACACTGAGCTCACAGCCAACAGTGCTGTATCTCCTGCCTGAATGAGACTTATCTAACACATATATTGTTTCCATAAGGCACATCCCGGCCTCGTGTGCTTAGGAATGCCAGACGGCACTTCAGCACTAAGCTTGGGGCCATACTAAACAGAAAAGTCATCAACAAAAAAGGCGCAAAATCGAATGCTAAACAGGCTCCCAAAAAGACACTTGTTTGAAGTAAGAGAGCTAAATCAAAAAGCAGAGCATCAGTTTGTCTTACTTTAGTTGGGAACATGCAAATCAGATGACTCAAAATTTTCAACTCCAATCATGTTTGCAAGAGACCTCAAAAGTTTCCTGATATCAATTCCAGGAGTTTCTTAAAAAGAAAAAAAAAAAAAAAGTTTCCTGAGTATTAATTTTGGGGTTGGAAACCGCAAATAAGAAGAATCCACTGTATTGATATGTGTATGTACATACACATATATGTGTGTGTATTTATATATACGTGTGTCTGTATAGTCGAAATATTTATTTTCAGAATAAAGAGCTTCTAGAAATTAATAACAAAATATAAACAAATCTATAAAAAATGAACAAAAGACTGAAATAGACAATTCAGAAAAGAATATAAATGCATAAAAACAAAAATTTATCTAACTTTGTTAGTCATAAAAGAAGTGTAAATTTAAACTAAAGGTAAATAACCCTACATATCTACCAAGTTATCTGAAATTAGAAGAATTAACCAAATGCTAGAGAGGAAGCAGAGAAATAGAAAATATAATACATTGTTGGTGAGAGTACAAATAGCATTAGGCAGTTTCTTATGAAATTATATATACATCTCACTTATGATCCAGCAAGTCCACTCTTAAGTATTTATTCACCCAAGAGGAAAATATATGTTCACAAAAAAGATTTACACAAAAAGTTCAATGCAGCTTAATTAATATTAGCAAAATACTAGAAACAACTCAAATGTATCAGCAGGAGAATGGGTAAAAATATTGTGCTTTATTCATAAAATGGAATAGCTATCACAAATAAAAAGAAATAACTTTCTGATATTTACAATAATATGAATGACATTTATGTTACAAAAATAAAAATACAAATAGCGAAAGAAGCCAGACATTAGAGTGCATATACTATTATTTCATTGATATGAATTTTGAGAAAACAAAAAAGTAATCTCTAAGGGTGAAAATCAGTATAATGGTTGCCTCTGGAGAGGTGAAGAATTGATTCTGTTTTCTAGGATGATGGACATGCTATATATCTTTACTGAGGTATGGGTTTTTGTTTTTGTTTTTTTAGACAGAGTCTCATTCTG